CAAACGTGTCTCTGCTCGTATCTCTGTTCTTGTCGACAACCACCCGCTGACCGCTCTGGTAGATACGGGTGCCGATTATTCTGTTATAAGCGCTGACCTCGCTGCACAGCTAAGAAAGGTAACGACACCTTGGGGACATAGAACCAACCTCCGGACTGCGGGAGGTCACCTATTGACACTGCTGGGAATGTGCACTGCCCGCTTCCGAATTCGTGAGTCGACGTACATTGTCCTTCATTGTATTGCGCAAATGCTCCCAAAACCTGATTCTCGGAATGGATTTTCTCCGCAAGCATAGAGCCATCGCGACCTGCTCATAACGTTATCTAACGACCATACAGCCTTACGAGAGGATGCAGTTGCGCAGACCACAACACTTCGAATTGCTCACGACACCATCGCACTTCCTCCGCGAGCCAGTATGTTGGTTACTGTGGAGAGCGACTGTGACAGCAAGAGTAGTGGCATCGCGGAAACTAACCTCTCAGTGCTCTTGGCTCGGCAGATTTGTGTCGCGCGTGCTATCGTCCAACTGAAACATCGGAGGACTCAGCTTCTGATCACGAATTTCGGCGGCCAGTACCAACACTCGGCAAAGCGAACAGCGATCGCGAACTTTGAAGCCATTGATGACGAAGAATGCTCCAGTATCGCTCCGATTACCACTGCTTCCGAAGGTAACACTGCATTAGCCAGTACAGTTGACGTGAATTGCTAGCTATCCTCGGCGCAGCAGCAGCAGATACGCATGATTTTACGTACGTAAAGTGACTGATTTGCGTCCACCTCCAAAATCAAGCAGGCCCCAACCGTGAAGCACCGCATTATAACGGACCCTACTGAACGGCCTGTACGACAGCACGCCTGCCGCGTGTCGCAAAAAGAACAAGAGGCAATACGTTTTCAAGTGAAACAGATGCTCGACGACGACGCCATCCAACCCTCGAACAGTCCATGGGCGTCACCCGTCGTACTTGTTAAAAAGAAAGACGGCACTCTTCGATTTTGCGTTGATTACCGGAAGCTCAACAAAGCGACGAAGAGAGAGGTCTACCCTCTCCCACGCACAGATGATTCACTGGATCGACTTCAACATGCCCGATATTTTTCATCAATGGGTTTACGCAGCGGCTACTGGCAGACCGAGGTCGATGAACGCGACAGGGAAAAAACAGCATTCATAACTCCCGATGGCCTCAACGAATTCAAAGTGTTACCATTTGGATTGTGCTCTGCACCGGCAACGTTCCAAAGGATTATGGACACCGTCCTGTCCGGTCTGAAGTGGGAATCCTACCTTGTGTATTTAGACGACGTCGTTGTTTTTTACAAAACATTTGAGCAACATTTACAACGACTTCAGTCCGTCTTCGTCGCTATTCGATCCGCAGGCCTATCGCTAAAACCGTAGAAGTGTCATTTCGGCTACGCAGAACTAAAGTTCCTCGGCCACCTTATCAGTCACGATGGCATTAGACCAGACCCAGAAAAGACCATGGCTGTTGCTGCATTTCCTCCACCTTTGAACAAACGGGATTTGCGCCGGTTTTTGGGGTCTCTGTGCCTACTACAGGCGCTTTGTCCAGAGCTTTGCCCACATCGCTGAACCCCTTACCTGTTTAACGAAGGAGCATACTCCTTTTGTGTGGGGTCCAGAGCAGAGAGCCGCTTTTTCCAAGCTTCAACAGCCTTCAGAGTGAACCCTTACTAGGGCACTTTGATGAAGATGCCGCCACCGAACTTCACACTGACGCAAGCAACATCAGTCTTGGTGCTGTGCTCGTCCAGTGGCAAGACGGCGCTGAACGTCCCACCGCTTATGCTAGTGAACGTCCCACCGCTTATGCTTATGCATTCTGTCGTCCGCGGAAACGAACTACTCGACCACGGAGAAGGAATGTCTTGCTGTTATTTGGGCGATAACAATGTTCCGACCGTATCTGTATGGCCGCCCATTCAGAGTAGTTACGGTCCATCATGCCCTCTGTTGGCTGGCCAATCTCAAAGACCCTTCAGGGCGCCTCGCGAGGTGGAGCTTGCGCCTTCAAGAATTTGAGGTTACAGTCGTCTACAAGTCGGGCCGCAGGCACACTGATGCTGATTGCCTTTCGCGCGCGCCCCTCGCGACGACATCGAGTGACGATGATACCGATGGCCATTTTCTTTGTGCAGTCAGTGAATCTGACTTGGCCCAACATTAGTGGAATGATTCAGAGATCCGACAACTTATCAAATACCTTCAAGGTCACAGATCGAGTCCACCATCTGCATTCGCACGTTCAGGGTCAGTTTGTCTCCGCAACGACATCGTCTACAAAGAGAACTTCGAACCTTATGCGACTGAATACCTCCTCGTCGTTCCACCAAGGCTACGTGCTGACAATTTATCTGCCTGCCACGACGAGCCTTCCTCCGGTCACCTAGGATTCGCACGTACCCTTGCTCGGATTCGGAGTCGCTACTACTGGCCAAAGCTCACCCAGGATGTCAAACATTACGTTAAAACATGCAATCATTGCCAGTGCCGTAAAGCCCCACCTGTGCGCCCTGCTGGTTTATTGCAGCCTGTTGCACCCCCGTCACAACCGTTTGAACGAATCGGCATGGACTTGCTTGGGGTCTTCTCGAAGTCACACGGTGGCAACCGCTGAATCGTAGTCGCTACTAACTATTTAACAAAGTACTGCGAAACGAAAGCCCTAGAACGAGGCACCACCATTGAGATTGTGTATTTTTTCATCAACAATATCGTCCTTCACCATGGAGCGCCAACAGTTCTTATCACTGACCGTGCAACAGCCTTTACAGCCCAGTTTATGCAAGACGTCACGAGACCTAGTGGAAGAGCTCATCGAAAAACGACCGCATACCATCCCCAAACCAATGGTCTGACGGAGAGATTACACAAGACGCTCGCCAACATACTATCTATGTACGTCGACCACGATCACAAAAACTGGGATGCAATTTTGCCATACGTAACGTTCGCTTACAACACTGCGATTCAAGAGAATACGGTTTCACTCCCTTCCGGTTGCTTCACGGCCGAGAAGCAATTACGATGATTTATGCCATGCTCTTGCCTGACACGGCCGATATTCCTACTGATGCGAACGACTTCATCCGGCTCGCCGACACGGCCCACCAGCTTGCACTCGAGCGGATCCGAAAACAACAACGAATCGACTCGCAGAGGTACAACTCCCATCATCGCCATGTAATTTACCAACGCGGTGATCCGGTCTGGATGTGGATCCCCATTCGCAAAAGGGGCCACTCGGAAAAGTTACTTCACCGCTACTTCGGTCCCTATAGAGCACTACGGTGCCTCACAGATGTCAACTACGAAATTTTGCTTGAAGACACAACTCGGCCATCTCGATGTTACCAGCAGGCCGACATTGTTCATGTGTCACGGATGAAGCCACACTACCCCCGAGCCACCTGATACTGCTTCATAATGCGTCTTTGTGCGTGTATGCGATTACTTTAACTTTTAATCGGCATTGGTCATCGGGCTGGCACTTTTTTTTCGAAGGGGGGGGGGGGGGGGGGTAATGCCACAGGCATGGAACGAGGTTTAGCCATGCCAATGCGAGTATGTGCCATAGTATGAAAAAAGAAGAGGACGGTTGCTGTGCTCGTGCTCTAACGTTCGGTTCGACTCGACGTCCAGTGCTCTCCTGTGAACAGACGTAGTGGTCGTTCTGTAATCACGTGACAATATGTTTCCTCAATACGCATCTGGATACAAGAACACGATCATATTGCATTTTATATTGGCTGCTTCTCAACAGTATTTGATTTATGCTCGGTGAAGTTGTGGATCGGTGATAAGGCGTAGTGGAATACTTGCAAGGACAAAGTAGTGGGCAGTTTGAAAAGGGAGAACTATAGGTGGTCACGTACATACAAGGGATGGACAGACCCACGCCCTTAGGAGCTTCACCCTTAAAGATATGGACTCCGTAAACTTTCGTTATGAAGTGTACGAAAAATATATATGAATTTTTAGGAAGCATATAGAAGTTGTATGACGTATACTGAAAACTTTTTAAGGAAAATATAGAAGGATATGGAAGTCATGTCGTATATACGGAAAGTTCCCTACGGAAAATATGGAAAGATAAGCAAGTATGGAAAGCTTTACGGAGTACACGGAAACTTTCTTAAAAATGTTATACGGAGCTTACAAACACTTTCTCACGGAAATATGGCAAAATAAAGAGTGGAAGCGGACTAATAAGACTGGAGGTGTTAATGTCACTAGACTAAAATAGCAGTCTGAGTGACCAATGCTATTCGATCTGTGGTGGTGCTACACCGTGGACGAAAAAAGTATGCTTCATTCCACTATAGGGCAGTGTGGGGGTTCGGCGAGTGCACCGTCAGGATCCGACAGCTCTTCCGATGACGCCCGGTTTGCAAGCACTCTCGAAGAAGAAGAGGAAGAATATGATGTTTAATCAGAAGAGTCACGCTACCCTCCCGGGGTAGCTTGACGCTTCGTAGAGCTTTTTCACGAACCTACGTGCCGTATACATGACATAACCATGCAGACCTCCCCTCCACCTACCTGAGACGCTCTCATGGTCCTTTCATGCTATACGTACGGAGAACAGCCGTCGCGTTTCGCTAATTGAGCCGCGACTGTGTCGGCTGTCATCGCAAGCTTTCTCTCGCGTAGAACACAAAACGCGAGAGGCGCCTTTGTCACCCTTCAGACTTGATGCGGGTCCTCACGACGACGGCAAAAAGAAGCCTGGCGTATCCATATAATTTCTATTGCAATAAAACATGCCACAAGTCAAACACCTCAGATTTGTGTGATGTGTCTAAACATGGATCTCCAACGCTCCATGAAACCAGCGAAAAGAATGTATTTATTCGTTGTTGCCTTCTATGAATGACTTGCTGCGCTTGCCTCGTTTCTAAGCGACACCTTGTCGCCTACAATCTCTAGATGTACAAAACCGAAGGAAAAAAGACAAACGCACAAGTAGTTTATTTAGGAACACTATATATTTGCCATTAAAGTTCATTCAATAAGACAATCAAACACCAAAAATAAATAGGTCAATAGACATGCATATCTTACATCTATGTACATACATTAATCTTGTGTTTCCTAGCTGCTAAATCGCGCGAACCTGCGCGCGACCGGACATCGGAAAACGTGTAAAAACAGCGTACGTGTTAACGAAATGCCAAGAATCCTTTAAAGAAGAAACGTGTTCGCTATCAGAGAATCAACGTCGCTTTTGCTCAAGATAAACAATTGTGCGGCGATTTTAGCAAGGCAACATTACGGGTGCACTGAATTTCAATATCAAGTTGTAAGAGGACTTCGGTTTGGAACACTTCTTATACATGATTCAAAGTACAGAAACCAAAGTCCAATAAGGTGCCGTTATGAGGGTGATGTCCTTTGTCACTCATTAGTACATAAACACAGCAGTCCATTGGATGTCTGTAGGTTTCCAATTCCCTGCTTATCTTCAGCGATGACAAGGTTCGTCGAACAGTGAGGTCCCTAATGATTGAGGTAAAATATCACTCAAAGGCTAAAAATCATCTCGATTCGCATGGGTAAAAACATATAGAAATACAACAAAAACTAATATGGCCAGTGGAGCACAAAGTCAGTATAAGAACCGCTTTAAGGGCTGGCTTTGGCTTTGGCTTCAGCCGCAAAACACACAGACTAGTACAGAACGGGCAAGGGAGTACTCCTGCGGCGTTGGAAAAGCACTGCACGAGCCGTCGTCACTCCGTGCTCCGACCAGCGTAGACTAAATATCGCAATAAGTACAAGTGACATAGATGAAGCAATTGAAATACGTGAAATGCAAATGATTCGTCATGATGAGGCACATCGTGAATAATTAGGTGTAACTTACAAACAATATGCTCGAACAGAAGGCAAACGTGACTGACTGACGGTGGGCACTTGATTGAACATCATGCGGCGATGAAAAGTGATTAAGTGGTACAAGTAACTGGATCGATTGAAAAGCTTACGTTATTCCAATGCCCAAGTCCAGAACTATGTCTCCAGCGTGCAGGTGCACTATGGTGCCCTCAGGAATCACATTTGTTGCCTCCTAACAGGAAGTCGCTGCGCATTCGGCCCAGTAAACGTCGTAGCTGACATGCAGGATCAAGTGACAGAAAGGGAACCGCACCGAAGTGGTAGCGGAAGAGTTTCACGGCAAGTTTCAAAGAAGCAGCTTTTACGTGGACGGTTTACGGAAATGTTTCACGGAATCGTGTTTCACGTTGAAAATTTACGGAAAACGTTCAGTGTAAAACGTACAACGTGGCGCAATGTTTTTTTTTTTTTGAATGCGAGTGCGTGATGTCAGAGTAGTGAAACGTTCACACCTTTTATACATTTTGTGTGCGTCCGGAGTCGCACATGATGGGCTTTGAGAGTGGGACCCCGACAAAAGACTCGCACGCTACTTGGCCATTGAAAGCAACGCCAAACGACGTGCATTTACCGTGAAGTCAGGTACACTATGGGGACGGAATCACCGCGCCTCTTCCTCTCTTTTCTGCTTAACGTGGAACACCTCACGTAGGTGCTCTACACTGCAGACAAGTGCACACTATGTCGTTCTGTAGACTATGTACAGAAAGCCCGCGACAGACACATACAAACGTGCCACATGTTCGTCAGAGTCTTGTTACACAAGCACAGTCTCTCACGTCGCCTTCAATGATTGTGTTAGTTTTTGTGAATGATATTTGTGCAACATTTGATGTGAGCAACATTGTGACAGTGCTGATGGTTACATGTATTTCCGAATAACGTTTCTTTCGCTCTTATAACTTACACCTTCGTTTAGGAGCAATTCTGTCACACAGTGGCAATCTTCATTAGTAATGCGCATTAATACTGCGACCGCTATTTTTCCTAATGAATGCTTTGTGAGCATGTGCTAATACTTTGATGATGCGCACTAGGGGCTCACTACCTTTGCGCCAGGAACGCTACTGCATGACCATAGTCTCTCGTATTGTTTGAATGTGCTGAGGTAATGAAACCAAATGCGATCTCTTGGATTCAATATTCGAATAAATCTGGTGCGTGTGTAAGATCACTTGAGCGCTGCGTACCCGATGCTTTGTAGTGCCAGGAACGCTATACAGAACGCACGAATCACGAAACGGGCGTTTCTGGTAATAACCCTACCGCAGTCGTAAATGTGTTAATCTTCATCATTACACAAGAATGCCGAAGATTATAGCTGTGTGGCAAAACTGTACCCTGTCGGGAGCCCTGCAGCTTACGAATGGGCGTCGCGTGTTTGAGCCTATATGGTTATTGTCGCAGCCAGTGCCGCATTAGTGGGAGCGTGACAGTGGCATACGAAGGACGTCTTTGGTTCATCAGTAGCGGTAGGTGTCGCTGCCCTGGAAGCCGAGGTTCGTGACACCGCCGTTATGGGCGTGGTAGAGCTGCATCTCGACGGGGTCTCCGGGGCCCCACTTTCGCTCTGGCTGGAATGCCTTTCTGGGATTCTGTGGAAAGAGACGAGATAAGCAATAGATAAGAAATATTTCAGCCTTGGTATAACGAACACAAACACAACGAATTCTTGGATATATCGAAGCGATTGCCGGCTACTACTCGTAAATACTATCACGCTATGACCACCGCTGTAAAACAGAAATTCTATATAACTAAGGTATTTTTTTTGGTGTTGCGTACGACGAGTTTCCTCAGTAGAGCGTATAAGAAATAAATTTAGCAGCTAGTATTATTCCACGCAACTTCGATCAGCATCTATCACCGCCACCGTAAAGAATAGTTTTTCGCAGCCTGACGTTCAGCACATACGTTGTTATCTCAATTTCCCCGGAGGCATCGCCTTGGGCATAGCCTATGATGCCGCATCGGCAGCTTGGCACCATGTGCTGGCCATGTGCTTGGATTTCATTGGGCCGTTCATAAACCACAATTGGTAGTTTAGAGACTACTATGCGCGTTAAGTTTATTCCCCCCTTTGCTGTCCTTATCTATACAATTTGCGCTTCTCCGTTATCACACGAATTGTCCATAATATTAGCTGGTCGATCGACTAGTGTGAGCGTTTTCTTTTCTTTTTGATACGATGCCTTGTGTCTCACCAGCTCACGTGGACCGCATTTATTTAAGCAGCTGTATTTGAAATGCCTACATTGATTTCCAGAAATGGTCATATGCGACGCACTTCTTACGTATGTAAGCAGAATCCACTTTTTTTTCTTCGATAGCTTGTCTGCATATAGTTCATTTAGGCCACCGTGTCAGTTTCTAGCCAACGAGTCCTGCCAGTCAGGTCGAGGTCGTGGGTTCTATAGCAAGCTATGTGGCCGCATTGCGATGAAGAGTATATGCGTAAAGGCGCTTGTGCTATATAGAGTCGCGAGAAAGAACTGAAAGTGGAAAACAATTAACCCAGAATGCACCACTGCAGAATACCTTATAAATATATTGAAAAAAAACTCGGCAGTTTTTTTTTTCTCTTCCATTTTTGCACGTATGATAAAATGCAGCTATGCGTTCTATATTTCAGTTTTCTTCTGTTAAAGTGTAATCTCACTGTAAATGGGCAATAAAGTGCGGATTTCGCATAAACGCACCTTCCAGTTCTTGAGCAGCATGACTGTGCCCCAGATGGGGATCTGTGCCATGGACAGCATGGCCAGGAGCCAGCCGATGCCATCGGCCCACGTCGGGTAGGACACGATGTCGTCGTACATGATTGGTTTGTGCTTGACTAGACCGTAGATGAACAGAAACTGCGAAGGCAAAGAAACGTGGAAAACGAATTGAAATAATCTACTTCGAAGTGACAGCGGGGCCCTTCAAAAGCACTGAGCGGATGAGAATGCGCATGGCATACGTGGTCTCATTAATAATGGTCAGCTTTTAAGGGGTTCTAACAATTAGGACATCTGTTCTTCATTTTTAGTTTTCTTCCATAGATGGAGGCTCCAAAAGCAGAGTAAAACTGAAAAAAATTTTGACATGACAGAAAGCGTCTTCAAATTTAATTTGCGCTAGATACATTAATTCATCGAGCTTCGCCTTCTCTTCTGAGAGAATACCACGCAATGACGTCAAGAGCGCGGTGGTCACGACACAGAAGGTTTTCATGTGGCAGCAGGGTATTGCTGAGTAAAACTACACTATAGGACATTACAATGTTTTGTCGTGGGAGCTCTAGTTCTTGATTTTTTATTACGCTGCTCTTGCATTAATCTATTCTATCTCACGACAGCACAACAGTGTGACCTCAGAAGTGTGGCAGTTAGGGCTAGTTGGTATGGCATGACGATATTCATAGCGCGAGAACAAAACGACGACACAGAGACAAGAACTACCTTCGTATCCTTCGTTTCATTCTCGTCTCTGTGTCGTCGTTTTGTTCTCGCGCTATAACAATCGTAGTGTGACCTCCCCTGGAACCAATACCGGCGTTGGTTGTAGAGTATGTAGGGTTGCTTCGAGGTTTAGGGAAATTTTCTAATGGTTCTTAGAAACCGGACTCGTATCTGCTGCAGAAAATGACCAATGGAAAATGTGTCACTGCTACTTCAAGGCTGCTATGTTGTAGACGGAATACTTGCTACGAACGTCGAATGTTTACGCTGCGGATATTACGGCGCGGATATGTACGGCGTGAACCTTTAAAGTGTAGATTTTAACGCTTCGGATTTTCACACTTCGTTTGTTCGCGCTGTGGATTTTTGGGCTGCGAATTCTTTTTCGCCAGGGGATATTTACACGACGAATCTCGCAGCATAGCAGTGAGATCGGGCCAGCTTTCAGTAAAAAAAGGAAGATTACGTAACACAGTTCACTCACCCCGAGGATGCAGGGCGAGAAGACGAGCCAGCTTGCCTTCCAGTACCAGCCGATGTCGTGCCCCAGCATGAGCTTCAGATCGGCGCAAAAGCGGTTCACACCTGCGGTACAAAAAAGATCAATGGGTCAAGGTGTAGAGGGAAATGAATTTGTCGACGCACAAGGGAAAGTGTCGCATCACATACTTGAAACATATGAAGCTGACATATTCATTAACACACGGGGAAGTATCAAGAGGGAACTTACGCGGAACTGACCGCAGAAATTACGAAATGAAGAGAAGTGAACGCAAGCAAACAAACAAAAAAACAACCTTCCACTGGCAGTACCCGAATATACTTCAGGATTATACGCGTGCGGTCAACTACCCTAGATTGTGGCAAGAACATCATATGCATATATGTATGTGTCCAGTCCTTCGAGTTTGGGGTGCCTGTAACTCAATTGGGCAATATTTTGAAGGTGTTGAATGTCTGGACGTCGGCAGGAGAGTGGAGACGGGGAACTAGCCCTCCCTCAAACTACACCAGCACCTGCCCCTAACCCAAACTACACCAGTGAGGGGTGTAGCTACACCAGATACACCCCTCCACCACCTCAGCTGCGAGATGAAACGCGGTTTGCATCCTTCCGACCCAACATAAAATCCTGCCAACGCCCGTAGTTGAAGTATGTCGGGCTTAGTGCGTGACGCGTAGAACCGACCTATCGTGTTCGCGTTGCCTGCCATGATGAAAATATAGACCGTCAGAGTAGATAGTGAGATAGAGGCTGCGATGGTGAGTTGTCACACTTGTAGTTTCTACACTACGCATAATCAATTCAAATGAGCGAGCTTTATCGCTTGTTCGCAACGCAAAAATATATTTGGCACAGATAGCCTGTCGTGCTTGACAAACTGTTCTAGCATGAGCTGAAACTTTTTGTACATACCGTAAAACCACATGAGCCCTACGATTTCACAAATGGCGATGAACAGAACAGCGCCTCCTCCAGCGTAGGTGTCCATAAGATTCAGGACGTATTGCCCACCCTGAAAGTAAAAGCCAACAAAAGAATTACGTTCTGCGTGCTTAATTAAACAACAATGTAGTGGCGTTCGAAAATCACTACAAACGCAATCTTTCGTGCCATAATTGCAGTGAGGTAAATCCACAGTTTAAATTGTTACACCATGCAGTCGCATTTCGTTCAATGAAGCCTCAACTGGAGTTCACTTCAGCATTTTAGAGTGTTTCCTTGGGCAGCTGAGAAGTGTGGGCAAGGAAGCTTACCTGTGTGACGCAGGGCAGACCGACGAGGAAGCACAGCACGCAGATTCCGAAGGTGAGAGGAACCTTGTACCGCCTGGACCTCGGAAATTCGTCGTAGAATGCGGTCAGGAAGGTCTCCAGCAGCGCGAACTGTCAAGTAAAGAAAAAAACTTGTACAGGGGCTAAAGTATATGGCAACGCTTAAAAGAAAATTCTAATGCGATATTGAATGTGGTCCCTACAACAGCGCCGTCGCCGGGCTGTGAGGTTACAGACGGCCCTCGCGCGGCCATTGCGTGAATGATTTAGAAGGCGTCCAAAGACGATATCACATGGCTACAGAAAAACAAAACGTTCTAACTGGGCCTATTAGGTAAGCTTAGCAAAATTGTATTTGCTGCGGGAACCGGGGCAACTTTCTGCTACATGCATTCGGCACACATATATATCAGTGCTCCGGCCGAACAGGTATGTGTTTACCATAACGTGGCGAAAACACAAGCTCCGAGTGGAACGCACAGTACAAGCGAAGAAAGCCACTCACAACAAAAACAAGCTTATTTAATGATCACTTGAACATACCATTGAGACGCGGACAGAAACGCCGGGCAAAATGACATACCACAATATATCCGAATCGTACGTTCCCTCAGACACTTTTACGCAGTTAGGACGCCATACTACTAAGGAATGGTTTTAAGGACTAATCGTGTATCATTCCAGAGCCTAATATGAGTTCGAACGAGACCAAGTACGTTTAACTATTCATATCTCTGTCGTTTTACTACACCATAACTAATTAACACGTGTGGTCTTGAGGGCATATAGGTAAATGCAAGTAGGTCATTCTAAAGCTCTGGTCTTAGTACCTCGCCTCTGGTCTTTATGTCTTAGGACATTGAGCAAACGCACGCAAAATATTTGCCCTGCAACCATATCAAAAACATAAAAGAAAAAAACTGAGGTATCCTCGGTAAGCGTTCTATAGCTCAAAATGTCGGCTTAATATGGGTATTGCGATTGCGCTGGCCTCGTTCTCATAAATTGAGACGTCACTCACCTCACTGTCTAATCCGAGCAGGAAGAGCATGAAGAAGAAGAGGAAGGACCAGAGCTGGGGAACGACGAGTCTGGACAGTGCCTCCGGGTATGCCACGAATGCAAGGCCTTGACCTGCGCGTGGGATGCGTCGAAATATGTTTTTGTAGTAAGCTCGCAGCATGATCACAAAGTTAGTTCTGAAGAACGAAAACCTATTTGATGAAATTTCGCATCGTGTGGTCACACATAAATTGTGCCATACTAAATCATTTGTAGTCTCTTCTACAAGACTCAGAAAATGGTAATTTTCCTCGTCAACAAGAAAGTTTGTGTTTTCGGCCCGAGCAGCGTATTGAGCCTCGACGAGTAACCTCGAACCTTTGAAGTTGCTGAATTCGGCGAATCGAAAGTGAGAACGTGGGCTATTACTGGTGCGTACTAATTCAAATTAAAATTTCATTTCATTCTGTGTTTTCCCTACAGAAATTGCGCACACAAATTGCAATGATAAGATCGAAATAACGGTACATGTAATAAGAACCCGTGCTCTAAACTTGCTCTGAACTACTAAACTTTATTTTTAATACTTTTAATCACAGACGATCTTGTATGACAGGGTAAAAAAAAGCAAAATTATGTCGCGTAGGTGGTGACAGCGTACAGTGCTCAAAGTATATGCAGCATACGGGAAAAACAGAAACATTTTTGTAACTATTATGCGCAGAGAGTACATAGAAAAACTATTTGTATAATTAAAAAAGCGACATGCTTCAATGTCGTAACGAACCAATATAGAAATAACAAAGTGAAAATAGTTAACAAGCATCAAAATCTTATACAATACATAAACACTGACAGAAAATAAGGAAAAAAAATTAGGCCTTTTTTTGGCATCATTGTGTGTTAGGTCTCATTAACATTGTGTCTTACAAGGAAAACGAGACGTTATATTTATCCTTTTTTCCTTTATAAAATATACATAAGCATAAATAACAATGCAAGATTTACAACATTGCTATGAAGTTAATGAAATGCAGATAATTATGCAGGCATCTGTATTCGCCTCAATGCTATACTGCTTTGGGGCAAGATGCCATGAAAATAATTTCTCGCTATAAAAAGTTCTGCTCGGTTATTGCTTCACGAAAGAGAAATTTAGAAACAGTTAAAATTTAGTTCACAGCTTACCAGCCTTGGCGACCTCCTTGATGTCGATGCCTAGTTCGGTGGACATGTTGCCAAGCACCGAAAAGATGACTATGCCGCCGATGATGCTCGTGATGAAGTCCATTGTGCTCACGAACAGAGCGTCTCTGCATGAGAAAAAAAAACTAATCAGAAAATGACGTCAGTTACGAAGATAATGTTATCATAGCCATAGCGTTTCCACACGTCCATACTTAACAGAGGAAGTCTGCCGTTAACGCTATGTTGCAACTTTCGTTATCTCTGTCACTACCAAAATTTCTTGTTTGTTATCGGCTGCGCTGCGTCTCCCTTGGCAGCTAGCCTATTCTGCAGCTTTCATACACTGCCAGTTATCAGTACCCGTATTCGTAGAAACGTCTTGCGATAAAAATTGCCGTAAGAAGATATCTCAGCCAATTACGCTGCGTTACATAAGGTCAGTTAAGGTGGCTCACTGATGGGAGGACGCACTTATCGAAGATTTTTGTCACTTTAGTCATTGATGTTGTGCTGGCTGGCGCTGCATTGATAAGGGCACTCTGCGAAGTGCGCATGCGCAAATGGGTGTTAAAAGCAGAGTGCACCGGCGCCCTTCTTGCCCGAGCCACGAACCCACAAGCATGGGACAACGAACGTCATTACCTGGAACTTGTCTGGTCCCTAATTTCGGCACGTCCTGTTGCAAAACGTAACACCTGATATGTAAGAATTCGATCAAGCACACGTCTGCACACTGCCGTGCTTCTTGCGTGTGATTTCTGCCGCAGATTATCAACGCGGCGATCACGTGCGTCAGTGCCGTGCACGGTGCGCGTCATCACGTGACTATAGCAATGGCTACATGAAACAGAAACCGTACCCATGGTCCCTCCTCCTGGGACTCTGTGGAACCGGAACTGCGAATTGGCGCATGAAAACATTCTCAGCCGCGATAATTTGGTCATGGGCTACTTATTGCCACAGAAAGAAAAAAAAGCACAATTGTTGTGCCAGTGCGCCTTTAACCATATGTCGGTATTCGGTAGCTCGTTACAGGGACGAGTGATACTGTACCAGACATGATATACTGACCTGTGCACTGGGTTGCTGAACTTGTTGTACGAGCCGAACATGATGATGCCTCCCCAAGAGATGCCGAGCGAATAGAACAGCTGCTCTGCTGCCTTGCGCCAAATCTAAGGGGGCAAAGAGTGAAAAAAAAAAGTCAGATCAAAAGACATTGGCAACTTCGGGCAGATATACTAAACAGAGACACGGGATGTGTCATTTCACAACAGCTGCTGTGTCATTGTACAACTAGCTGCGCCATTGCTCAGCATGGTGCAATAGCCCACAGCTAGCTTTCGGGATGTCAAACCACGCGTAGGTCACTCACTTCGATCTCAAGGAGTCTGTGCCACTCGGGAATGATGAAGTACTTGATTCCTTCCACGGCTCCCGGAAGGGTGACTCCCTTGACGAGCAGAATGATCAGCACGAGATAGGGAAACGTCGCCGTGAAGTACACGACCTGGAAAAGAAGGGTGAAGTTGGGCCATTGCGCTTAACATTCCATGTTTGGCGATACTATAGGAATGAAGCTTGGGCTTGTTACGTAACTTCAGTGGAATAGCGCAAGCTTAGAGACTCGGACACAGAAGCCGAGACCACACAGGCGCTTGTGTTGCGCTGCTTGTGCGTTTCTATCTACAATTGCGCTATTCTACTGACTTATTCCCCGTGGTTCTGTGAGATAGGTAGCAAATCGTAAGTTTGGTAGTGCTGTTTGTGTGAAGTCATTGATATACTTGGGACATTTGTCGGCATAAACGTTGTAACACAAGATTTATTATATATGAAAGATGCCGGTGCAAGATGCCGGTGGCAGCGCCTTCAGCAAAGTTAATGCGTTAACCTAGCTGCTAATTAGGGAGTTTTAGAATACCGTTTGCAAGCGCTGCGGGCGTTGCGGGCGTCATACGCGTTTTAGAATAGCGTTTGCCCTGCTGCGATCCGCAACGTACGATCGCAGCGACACCGCAGCCTCGAAACCAGCGCTTGCGAGCCACATTCGGGCCGCCATTAACGCACGGAATTTCGGATTTTTTGCGTGCGGTCCGCGAACGCGAACGCCGACTCGCGTTACGACGCATGCGTAGTGGCAGCGACCACACCGCAAGGGCTCGCGGTGCGCTATTCTAAATCTCCCTATTTTGTCGTACACAGTGCTTTCAAATTGTCTTCAGGCAATGGTGTCGAACTATGTCGTTTTGGTATATATAGGCTGTGGATAAAAACATGCTAACAGTCCATGCAATTGTGCGTTGTATGACATAGAAATATTGCCAATTAGCTGTATGATCTGAAGATGAAAAATTGCACTACGTGTGGGTATGCGGAGAAACGATGTGTAAAGAAGCGGTACTGTATGCCCCAAAAGCCAAAGTATGAAGGACAACATAGAATTTTCAACACGTTCAGCGTGCCTCGTGTTATTTCCCAATAGTCGATTAATGTTTAAGCTCCAATAAAGAATGAAACTCAATCATGGCAACCAAATTGCCAGATAATTTCCCTAATTGATGACAAAGGGCGTTTCGCAGCATTTCAGGACATTTAGTTCAACAAGTTTTCAGATATACGAACTGAAAGCTAGCTTGAAACTCGACTTGAAACAAGAAACACATAGCAAAGTGTGCGTGTTCTTACGTGTGCTTTATGTCTGTTAAAACCTTCTTTCATTGTTATTTTAGAGCACATAAATCTAAACATATTAAAACCACTCATATGCACACCGCATAACTAAACTCTTTATCATCGGATACTCTTTTGAACCTTCAGAATTGAGCTTTTTCGTACAGAAAGATATTGTTGCGTACCTTTCCGGTGGACTTGACTCCCTTCATGAGGCACAGGAAGACGACGACCCAGCTGGCCAACAGGCACAGGCTAAGGTCCCAGCGAATGACGCCCAAGTCATCGATACCACTGGTGATGTTCAGCACGTAACGCCTGCGAGGGCACGCGAAGTAACCGTTAGTACTAATTCACCAAAGGTCATCCTCAAATGATTGTAAAGCAGTGGCTGACAGGTCTACTAACGGGCTTGTGGCAGATCTTCGTACATACTCATTTTTCATGCTTATGCGAACGTATTTCTTCCCTCAAAAGCTCTGACGGCCCTAGAGTTAGCGGGTAGGTTCATTAACGATAGAGCAGAACCACGATCTCATAAGGACATACGAATGTTTGTGAATATTCTAACCGTGGCGAACTAGTACCTGAGTGGCGAATGTAGGCGAATAGTATCTGAGTTGTACCCACAAAAATAACCCTGCTGGGCCTAAAAGAGTGCGTTGCTGTGTCTGGAATGGTACGTTCGCTGTATTCAAATGACATCGCTGCTGTGTCCAGAATGGCATTCCTGCTGAGGCTAGAGTAGTATCTATGTTGTGTCCATGTGAGTACCCATGCTATGCCTAGCTAGATCAGTTACCATGTTTTGTCCAGGATATTACTCCTGCTTTGTCCAGGATAGTACTTCTGATTTGTACAGGATAGTACTCCTGCTTTGTACAGGATATTAGTCTTCCGTCGTCTAGGATAGCACCCTTGCTGTGTCTAGGATGGTACCTCTGTTATGTCTAGAATAGTACCACTGCTTCGTATAAAATACCTCCGCTGTTATGTTTAAAATAGGACACCTGTCATGTCTGAAGTAGTATTTCTGCTGTCCAAAATAAATCAGCCCTTCCGATTGTGTCTTTCCCCTAATGTGTGGTGGCTGACTACATGTTTAGGCTACTGATAGTGCGTCGCGCATTCTCAAAGAACTGTACCACCGTTTCATCGTATGCTGTGTCCAAAATAAACCAGCCCTACTAATTGCGTATTTCCCCTAGTTTGTGGCGGCTGACGGCATGTTGACGCTATACTGATAGTCCATCGTGGAACTATCATCGTTTCAATGAATGCTGGTTCCGTCAAACTTACTCCCAGAACTGCTGACTGGCGGTCTGGGTTCGCGTTGGTGCAGTTGTCGTATCTGGAAGTGAAGACATCGGTGGGAACGACGGCTGTCATGTTGTTGGCCACTATGAGAACGCCGTTTGTCACGTTGGTGATGTTCATGTACTCTCGCACCAGGTTTCCTTCCACCGACACGCAGCGCTCCTATAGGCATGCGATTAAAAACAAAACAACTGGAGATTCGATTCACTCTCGGTGATGTAACGATACACATCGCAAAGCTGAAAGGAAGAAGCAAACGAGAAAAGACATTCACTGACGTTTGCGTGCTACGTGTCTAATTTTTTACCTCACAAAAGTTAGCTCTGTATACACCCCTTCGACACAACAATGAAACAAAGCTTGCATGCTTTATGAAAAAAAGGAAACGATGGTAGTTTTGGCTCAACATGCCTGCGCTACACTGACGGCTTATGCTATGGTGCCTGAAGACCTATATTATCATTAATAAATAGTCTATACGAGGTCTATATTACCGTTCATAAGTATTCTTTGGAGCACGTAAGCACTCATATCTAGCTTCTGTAAGTTCTGTATCCTATTTATTTTCTGCTTGAAAGTGTGAGATAACTTGTAGCCACTCATTACTACAAATGGCTTGATTGTGTCATGCGTTGTTCTTGCAATTGTACCCAGTTCTGCATTACTTTTAATTTGTACCCTCACGAAACAGCAAGTATTTATAAGCAATACGCACAGCCAATTTCTATGCGTCAATTAATAATATTTTTTTATTTATTCAATACTGTCAACCCCGCTTTTGGGGTCATTACTGGGGGGGGGGGGTGTCACAAAGTACATAAAGTTCGCACAAAAAAGAAAATTCAAAAGCACATATAAATACGAGATGAAAAACCAACAACCAAAAAATTAGAAACAAACAACAGTGACTATACACATAAAAATCAACGAATAAACGCATCACTACAAAGGAAACTGGCATTTTCGAAATTCACTGATGTTGTTTGTTGCGCAACTGCATTGGGTAGACTATTGCACATATCTATTGTGTCTGGGAAAAAGGAGTGGCGGAAAGCATTCGTGCGTGTCAAATAAGGTTGAATTGCTCTACTATTATTAAGACAATCACATCGCCTTCCAGGGGGCTGAAGATATAAATCCTTATTTATTTTAATTTGCCCACATATATTCTTACAAAGAAACTTGAGGCGATGTTTGCGCCTGCTATATTCCTAAGACTCAAGCTCACAAGACTTTAACAAAGCTGTGGCTGAGTGTGTGCGTCGGTATCTACCGCATATGAAACGGACAACTAATTTTCGTATTCTTTCAATTTTTGTCAACACCTTCTGGTGAGGCGACCACACAATACTAGCGTACTCTAAGACAGGGCAATATCAATGAACTACTCGGGTAATGCATCGCTATCGAGACAACCACATGGGTTATGTGTCAGAAGCGATATATATTATGTGTCAGAAGCGCTTCGGTGCTGGAACGGTTGCTTTTGGCGTTACACAAGAAGTCTTATAGAGTTAGTTCGATAAGCCTCGTTGGCAGATATACCGCCTATTGCAAGTCTTAGGAAACGATCTTTTATTAAGCGCATTGCCGACGCTGTCTTGCGAGCGCAATACTATACCACTACGAGCGAGTAACTGGCGACGAAATTTCGTGAGGTGACGTGTTGTAGTGTGCGAAGTCTTTACTGACGTGAAGGAGTGGCTATAGTAGCCAATATAGGCCAAGGATAATTTTTCGTTAACTTCTCGTTGATAGATTGTCCAAACTTGCATTACAAGTTTTCTTTCTCTTTTCTCTCTCTTTCTCTCTCTCTCTCTCTCTTTAGTTCGGTAAATTGGTTTCTTTTATGACGATTGAAAGAGTTAGCGAAAATATGCTTCTGAAACTCTGCGTTTAATTACCGTGATAGATGCCCAGCACTTTATGATTCCCTGTCGGTCGACACCCGAAGAGCGCTTACCACGTTACTGGTGCGCACGTAGCAGGTCTCCGGGTCGGCGCCCCACCACTCGAAGCAGTCCTGCCAGGGAAGCACCGAGCGAAAGCTCTGAGCCATGTAGAACACGGTGTAGGCCAGGATGACGTTGTAGTAGACGGCCACGATGAGCGACACGACAACCATGGCTGCTCCCACGCCTGGGTTTCGAAAGAGCGAGAGAGAATGTAAAGGCTTGATGAAACAACTACCAAATGAAGGAACGTGCAAATTTAAGGGCTCGTTTTCTTTCTTAAGACACAATATTATTGACAATTAACAAACAATACTGTCAGGGATAATACGGAGGATATTATGATTGATTGATATGTGGGGCTTAACGTCCCAAAACCGCCATATGATTATGAGAGACACCGTAGGGAAGGGCTCCGGAAATTTCGACCACCTGGTGTTCTTTGAAGTGCACCCAAATCTGAACACACGGGCGTACAACATTTCCGCTTTCATCGGAAATGCAGCCGCCGCAGCCGGGATCCGAACCCGCGAGGGGAATATTATGAGAAGTAATTGTAGTGTATGTGAAGAAATAGAAGTGGACAAAAAGATAACTTGCCACCGGCAGGATCCAAACCTGCTACCTTCGAATTTAAATTACTTCTAATAACACTCGCTATACTTTCCCTGGCGTTATTGTTGGTTAGTTCTCATTATAGTTGTGTCTAATTGTCAAATGATGTAACTAAACTACACAAATCATAACTAGTTTTTAACTCTGAGAGGCCAATGCACGTTTTACTTGTTGATCAATTAGTGAATGTATAAACCGAATCACTGTTTAATGGGTGAATCTACAATTTCTCTCTTACTGTTCTGTGAGTATTCGGCTGAGTTATTGCCATGATGAAACGAGCGCTCGTCCCGTGTCCTTTCTAAGCCTTAGTACTTATTGGCGCTTGTTTTGTCATCACGTTATACCAACATACCCAGTTGACAGTCATCCTGAGTTATGTTACTGCATGCGCACATTGCTGCAGATCGCGCAGACACCGCTACACCCCACTTTCAGCCACACCTGCATTAGTGACGTAGCATGGTTTAACGCTACTTTTGCGACAAATCTCAATGGCATCGGCCTTTGAACTTAACAAAAAAATGCGAGTGGCCGAGTTTGTGTTGCTACCTGGTGGCGCAAAGGTCAAGTAGAAAAATTCGGAGTGTGGCCTCCGCGTTTTTTTCACGCACTAGAGTGCAATCGCGCGATGTTGGGGCTTAGAACATCCAGTGAAGAAGTTGAGGAAGAGCGCGGCTTGAGAGGAGGGTATCGCTTAATCCATCCTAGCTTCCTCGATGCTAGGGATTCTGCTTAAATTATGATGGATAGATTATCATTAGCCATATTTTACACGACTACCAAGAAACAAATTATGAGCAGCTTCAACTGACTTAACATCGCGAACGATGATAAAAAAACGGTAGGCCTACGCGTAACGCGCAGCACAGTCACAGTTAAAGCTAGAAGAGCGGCCTTTCAGGGCATTTTCTAAACAATCTTTGGGTAGTTACTACAAGCACACTGCTGAGTTCCCACTACAGCCATAAATAATCGTAATTTTTGTGTAGTTGGCCACCATTTACTATGATTATCCTTCGTCATTCTTTCGAGAAGCGTGGTATCCGCTGCACACTTGTTAGGAATTTTGTGCAATTTGTTATGCAGTAGCTTACGACGATGAAGAATTATGCTTGAAGTGCATATGTGCCACAGTTAATAGGTGAACAAGAACAAGCTTTTGTAACGGGTCAAAAATATTGGACCTCCCACTCTTTACGCTATTAGCATTGTGTGACGCTGCGTTGTTCATTCTTCAACCTAGATTTTACCCGCTAATAATGAACTTATGATACTTAAACACGTAGCATTTTAGTTCCTATAGTGCATGCTTGTGGGTATGGAACAGCGCAAAAAATATAGACAAGAACTCAAGAAATGACAACACAGGCGCCAACTCGCAACTCCTGCTTGCGAGTGAAGTTGCGAGTTCAGCGCCTGCAGGTGCTTCTCTTCTTCAGTCTTTGTCTATACTTTTGGCGCTGTTTCACACCCACAAGCATGCACCATGAGAATTCAAATGCTACTTGTTCAAGTATCATACGTTATTATTAGCCGGCAAGGTTGAAGATCAAGTTCGTTTTTAAATTCCACGCCGAAATCTCCACGCGTGACGTCAACAATTTCAAAATGGATTTTTCGTATTTTCGCAATATTGGCTGGAGGAAACTTTCGAAAACTTCGTAGGTACGCTAGGCCTGTCGCACCCAATGATGACAATGCACTTCATTTTTATCCCTTAGATACTGCTTAGGACCCAGTAGACGCCTTCGAATTCTATGACGTCGCGGTGTTTGGTGCTGGAATTCTAAGGTGGCATCCCCATGCGCATTTCTTTTCGTGTGTTTTTTCACTTAGCAAAGCGTCATGTCCTGGTATGGGTGTAGTTTTCAAGATTGTGAAATCGTACTTTACTAACACACGAAAAATGGTTTCGCTGTTTAGCGTTCTTTCAACCATGCTCTCCATTTCGAGATCGGGCTTGGCACTTGCAGCTGGTCTGGAATGAGGGAAACGATCCCCAGAGATTCACCGAGGCTTTAAACAGCCCCTATATAAAGGACAAGGTTACGGCGTCCCTCTAACTGTGAGTCCAGGTGTAACTCAGATTTTGTTCGCAACTCACCCTTGGCGATGGGCAGACACCTCCACACCGACATCGGGCCGAGGCTGGTGAACTGACCGACGGCGACTTCCATGAAGTACATGGGCTTGCCCACAAGTAGCATGAGAATGATGTACGGCAGAAGGAAAGCGCCTGCACGAGGAAAACGAAAGCATGTTTGGGGACTCTGGAACGTAGATACATTTATATATATTTTGCTGGAATAACTATATACAGACATACAAAATTATTCACAGATCATTTTAGGGGGGATGTAATATACGGCTTTGAAATTCTCCTCATGTGTTCAAAAAGCTAGCCTTTACGGAGGAAAATGAAGCTAAACACTGTTTATTATCTGTTTATTATGATTGCATTCTTTGAGCCATGACGACGATAACCTCATTGAGTAGTTACAGTTTGACGAATCCATTTGAATACCTCGCTATTTTTGCTGCACTACTAAATCACCAAGAACCTGTTGGGTCGGAGAAGCAGATCTTCCACATCCGTACCTCCTCCGTTCTGGTAGGCCAGGAAAGGGAACCTCCAGATGTTGCCGATTCCCACGGAGAGACCGATGCAGGACAGGATGAACTCGGCCTTGCTGCCCCACTGACCTCTCTCGATGGTCGGCGAAGACTTTTCGTCGTCAGCGACAGGCTTGAGCTCCATAGGAGGGTGGTTGTAAGCAGCGCCATTCTGTAACACGAAAACGAAAGCAATGGAACAACACAAAGTTGATGGTAAAGCTGCGCCCCCCCCCCCCGTGTGTGTCCCTGTTAGTGGTCAACGCGAATTCACCTAGTCATTCTATCAACCAGATTGAACAGCATCGCCAGGCTACGCAGTTGAGCCTCACAAAGCGGTGATCTCAATGAAGGTTCTTTCAAAAACAGGGTTTTAGTTTCAGTTCAGGGGCAAAGCAGAGAACGGTGGATGCCGAGCTGTCTCGCGTGGACCCGCCGAGACACCGCAACCTGATAGCCCACAAGCGTCCCGCCGACAGTAAGATTACTATATATTAAAGACGATAGCTTTTGTTGGAATACTGTTTAGAATAAGGTACTTACATTATGTACAGAAAACAAAAGTTTCATAACATTCCAGTAGTAAAAGCACATATACTTCGGCACATTTGTGTACCACGACAAACATCATTACGTTGCAGTGAAAACATCATTGCTTCATATACACGACAATGTTGGCATTCATGTACTCAAAAACTCAATGCGATATATCATGATACAATAATATAATTATACAATAGATGCAATTAATCACAATTGATTACAAACGAAATCATGAATAACAACTCAACGCGCGCTGCTTAGCACCACGTCGGTCGAAAAATGAGTTGTACCCTTTCGTGTTCAACATTGAAAAAATGGCACGACCAATGCCGCAGAAACTCGTGCTCCCCGAGGAAGAGAAGCTCCCTATAGAGGAACGCGAGGATCTCTCGCCTCATTCGCCCCAGTATCGGACACAAAGCACGCCATCGGCAATTCGCAGCCACAGTCTCACATCGGTTTTGTCAAATGGTGAACAACCCCGCAACTATGAAAAAAAGCCGAGAAGCGTCCGAGTGGAAATCGGCCGTTGGACACGAATGTTTGCACACCCTGTCCCCGAAAACCAGCATAGACCACTCATCAAAAAAGGTGGGCAACCACACATTCAATCGTCGCATGTCGATTGGTCTCAACCATGACGCAGTTTGGGCAAGTGGAAGTGTGAACCACCTGCCATCGCTGCAACCGATCTCGAGTGGGGAGCAATCCCCAGCCCAACCACCGAAGTTCCGGAGAAGCCCTGGCAACACTGCTGCAGTTACTGGTTTCCAAGGGTAGTTCAGTGTAGATTGACGATGCTGGGGCACTAATCGCCGTATAAGGGTGGTCATTGTGTCCACCACTTTCAATTCGGCCACCTCTATCACTAAAAAACTCCCAAGCATTTCCCCGAGGGGGAACATGGTTAAGTGCGAATACACGGGGTGATGCTATGAGGGGTATTTATAATTCACACTATTATATTTATTAACCACACTATGGTGCCTTTTTGGTGTAATGGTTCCTGGGAATCGCAATTTGATCACACGGGGTAGTTTACGTTAACTCACTGGCGAATGCCAACGGATTTTAACTTTACTCCCCCTCACGACCCGCTCTCGACGGGAGACTGAGAGAGAAGGTGGGCGCGCGAGAGAGAGGGGTGCGCGCGCAGCTGCAGCGAGGGAGGAGAGCGGAAGAGCGAGCGAAGGGGGAGGGGGTAGAAGGCGCGTTACTGACACCGATATCAGCGTCGCGTCCGTGGCTTATTCGGTAGAGCGTCGCGCTGCGGCCCGCCAAGTCCTCTTTCTTTTAAAGATAGAGAGAAGACTGCGGACACCGCCGACGGCGGTGGATGGTTTGCGGTCGCTTATAAAGTGCATTCACACTTTAAAAAGTGGCCTCCAAGCGTCGGTGAAATGCCAGAAGGGCTCCATACAAAGATGGTTATTCAGTTGATTAGAGACCTTGGTTCATTTGGCTAGCCGGCAGGAAGACACGTAGGGATGATGACCCCAGATGGTAACGAGCCAGTGTCTGTGCGGGCGTACCGCTATTGCTTAGTATTGGTAATAAAGTGCGGAGGCACAAGGTAGAAGCCGCAACTGAAACGTCGGGGAATGTGAAATCGCCTTATCTCGTGATTGAGTCAACGCTGGATGAGAACAATTCTGTACCACCAGACCAGAAAAATGAACTGATCCAGCTATGCACTTTCCTGGAGACGTGGAGCGGTGGTTTTACAGAATGGAAAAGGTACCAAAATTTTGCGCGGTAAACCTTTGAGATAAGAATAGGCGTTCCAAGAGGGGGAAGTCGAAGTGTCTGGCTGTTTTTACACCAACTGCGTTTAGAAAAAAAATATTAGATGCGAAGCAGCTCTTTGACTATCCTGTGTAACGCTGTCCCTCCGTCCGCACCGCTCTCGTCGCCACAGGTGTTGGAGAGGTGCAAAGTTGCGCACGATCCTCCTAGCAGTGCGAGGTGACGTCTCTCTCCCTCGCCGGCCGCGCACTCGCCGCGTGTCAGCTCTCTTCGCTTCATCCTCTCCACTACTTCGCAACGCTCGAGCCCACTACTCAAGTGGGCATCATCTAACCCGCGCCACCTCTCTCCATATGTCGGCGAGAAGGAGCCGCGAGCCGGCAGGTGCGCGCGCTGCACGCGCCTCGAGAATCTCGCGACGGCGACAATATGGCCAGTGTGCCGCAGCTTGACGCACAATCGCACCGACGGGCGGAACGCCATCGCGGCATGCTTCTCACTAGTGTGCACGTACCTTTCCCGGCTGTCGCCGGCGTTGCGACAGTTCGCGAAGCCGATCGCGTTCGCGATTGCGGACGTCAACAACGATGAGGAGCGAGCCCGGGAAGCCGAACGCAAGCGTCGGCAGTCGAAGACCAGTGAAACCGACAAGGTGCGAGTCAAGAACCACGATCGCATTCGAGAATACAGACGGGTAACACCGACGAGACGCGAGCCCAGGAAGCCATGCGCAAACGTCTTCAACGCAAGAGTGGAAACTTGGGCTAGTTGGTGCGTAGTCATATTTGCAAGATGTTACAGCGCGCGAACAAAGGAAAAAGGACAGGGTAGACAGAAAGAGCGCTGTTTCTGTCTACCCTGTCCTTTTTCCTTTGTTCGCGCGCTGTAACATCTTGCAAATATGTCTTCAACGCGTCCCGCCTCCCGTGTCTTTGCGTTTCAAACAGACGTTCACTCGAGTAAACGCTACACCAAATTTCACTTCAAATCGTTCTTCCAGCCCCCGCGTTGATGCCCGTTTCTTCCGGGTCAACGCTGTGCGCGCCGCTGCTGCGTCACATTACACCAGGTTTCCCGTCGGCGAGATGGCCCGTAGTTCTTTTTTTCTTTTATCGTGGGATGCTACACATTTATGAAAATGTTTAGCAGAAGTTAATTCCATCGTGGTACGCAACAAACCTATGAAACGAGCGTCTATACAAAATAAAAAAGTTTAACGATTTCGAGTACTTTGTACTCAACTATGGGAGAGCACTAAGCCGTCCCGCTAATACGTCTACACTCGACAATCACTCTGAATGGAAAATTTCAGGCTATCTTTGTCACACGATTCACCAACCTGGTTAAACTTGCTAAACGCCCAGTCATATTGAGCTGGTGGCTGCGTTCTTACTTGTCTACATTAGCGATCAAAAAGCAAGTAATACGCATATCTGACGCACACCGTCAGTAATTCAGGAGTAGGTGGTGCGTTCCTTTAATAGAAAATACACAGATACGCGATTCTAAAGACCTTAGTGTTTCTTAGACTGCGCTGAAAATGCTGTGCTACGCACGAAAGAAGGCCCGCAGGAGACTATCGTCTTTTTACGAGAGAGAGAACAACTTTTCTAAAAATAAAAATTGGCAGATTCCACGTACAGTGGGGATCGATGATATGTGAAGCACGAATGAGAAAGGTTGATATATCACTTTAAAATCAGCACAACGTTACGAGGTGGATGTAAATGATGCCATACATGCCTTTCATGTCATGATTATCATGTTTGGATGTGTCATTTGCCTTTATCTTCTATTCACGTCACGTGATACCAAATTTAGTATATGTAGAGCTAGCGAAACGCCCGCGAGCACGCTATGAGCGTGGTATGTTGTCATGTTCTTACATTACACGCGTGTCAGGGTTACCATGTTTGCACCAGTCATATATTTGGTCATCCATTGACGCCACGTAACACCAAATTTTGTATATGTGAAGCTAGCAAAACGGCCGCGAGCGCATCATCAAGTGCCCAATATACTCCAATGAAGCGTTGACGCGCGCGCACGCTGGGCACAGCGACGCTACGTTAGCGAAACGCGAGCACTCTATAGTCTGACGCCAGGCGCGACCAGCGTCCGTCGGCGCGTTCCGACAAAAACCGGTGCGAAATGCGACATCCTGCATTTCGTGCCGATGCATTACCCAGACAACACTGCATCTCCCTCTTTTTGTGAATGAGGGAAGCCGGACGCGCTGAAACGTGCATGCATCAAAGCAACGCAGCGCGGCGCGCACCTCCGAGTACACGACAGGACCGGCGCCAGACGTGGCAACGCTGGCGTGACGCAATGAAATGAACGCCGGCGAGCACGCGCGCCACGTCACGTCTAAATGTATTGGCTCCTTGACTGTGGAATGTAGTCATGTTCTCACATGACACACATCTCATGATTATCGTGTTTGCACCAGTCACAAAGCTTCGTCATCCATTGACTTCACGTAATTCCAAATTTGGTACACGTGAAGCTAGGGAAACGGCCGCGAGCGCATCATGAGTGTGGCATGTAGTCATGTTGTTACATGACACGCATGTCGTGATTATCATGTTTAAATGTGTCATTCACCTATGTCGTCCGTTCGCGTCACGTTATACCGAGTTTGGTACATGTGAAGCTAGCGAAACTGCTGCGAGTGCATTATGAGCGTAGCATGTAGTCATGTTACATGACACGCATCTCATGATTATCCTGTTTGCATCAGTCACATACCTTCGTCATCCATTCACATACCGTAATACCAAATTCACTATATGTGACACAAGCGAAACAGTCGTGAGCGAATCATGTGCGTGGCATGTCGTCGTGTTGTTACATGACAGGTATGTCATGATTTTCATGTTA